CTGCCATAGCGAGCGGCGAGCTGATCCGCACAGCTGGGACCGGCCCGCGCCATGGAGCGCCGCAGCAGCGAGCCCTGGGCAGCCCTCGCCGTGCTCCTGCTCACCACCGCTCTCCTGAATGCTTCCTCAGCAGGTACCTCCCCTCTCCTACACCCCTGTGCCCTGCCTTTCCCCCCACGCTTCTTCCTACTGAAATATATTGCCTGTTGACAGTAATTTGTTCTTTAGAAACAAGGTGGGCTCCTCTGTCTCGCGCAAGGAGAGTAAAGAGCTGGAATATGGAGTGATGCTGGTGAGGATTACTTAATGTGATCAATCACAGCATCTTTCTGAAGAGCCTTGCTTTTGCCAGGGATTTACAGATCAACTATGAAAGGGACTGAGCTGCAGTTTGCTCTACTGAATTACAAGACAAGAGGTCCCAGTCACAGACCTGTTTCTTGGTTCCCACATACTAGCTGCAGCAGGGACCATTTTGAAATATCACCCAGCAGGCTCTGTGTAATCTGGTTTAGCTCCTATTAGGCACTTATTGCAGAAAGCCTGGCTTTACTACCCTCTTAATTATAGAGATTGCCTAAAACCAAAATATAAATGAGACCTATTAGCTGCTCTTTTCCCATCAGGACACCACCTGCACTTGTCTATCAGCAGCACTTGAGAACTGCCAGATTTTTCAAGATGGGTTTGCTCTGACAGCCTGTCCTTTGGCAGCAAAGTCTACAAACGGGAACTAAGAATTAAGGTTCTGTTCCACACCACTTTCCTCTGCAGGTCATGCACAGTTTTGCATGTTTTTAAATTATTCTTCCCAGTGCTCCTGTGAGGTATTTATTAACTCAGAGAAGAAATATAAGCTCTCATGGAATGGACTTGGGCAAGGTCATACAGTGAATCCTAATGGAGTTAGGAAGAGGAATGAGAAGTATTCATGACTTTCCCTAAAGCAGGTTGCAAGGGAACCTACTCCCAGCATGACAGCAAGAAATAAGAATAAGAAAAGATCGCGTCTTGCTGACACTCAATCATCTCAAAATGAAAATTTGAACAGCAGCAGGTAACCCCAAAGCTGACATCTCTCACAGGACAACATCAGTTTATTTACTATTACCCAAATCAAAAGGTTGTTCCAGGGTCTTTCACTGTTTTGTTATCCTGAAAGCTGAAACTAAACCCAAATCATTTGTTTTGAAGACTTCGAGTGAAATGAAGCTGGAACTGAATTTCTGTCTCTATTACACTCCCAGTTTGCAGCTGAAAGCAAAGGTTTGTTTGCAAATCGCTTTCTCTCATAGCCCCTGCTTGGCAGAGCCTCTCCGTCAGCAGGAGCCCCAACTTCAGTAGCCTCTTCAGATTGCCCCTGTGGGGAACAGTTTCAGCTTATGGATCTTCTTCATGGCTGAAGCCAAACGTAGGTGCTCTTAATGGCACAGGACTAGCTATTTCTTTCACTCCCTTCTTTCTACAGCAGAGGGCAAGGTGTTTTATTGCTCTTTGCACATTCCCTGGGACCTCAGCAGCCTGCACGTTTCCCACCCCGGATCCCTCAGCTGTTCTTGCACCCAATCCTGCAGCTCTGAGATGTGTGTTGACACTGATAGAAGTCTTTAGGACGCTTTGGCCTGTGACACTAGATGACCATTTAGATGGCGAGAGCTCAGCTGCAGTGCCTGGCAGGAGTACAAAGATGTTCCAGTTCTGTCTAGGAAGTAGAAGAGTCTTCTTGGCTAAAACCCTCCAGCTTTGTGGAATGCCCTCTCATAAGCTTACCTATTTCTAGAAGGTGTATTTTCCAATATGTTTGGGTTCATGGAACGAAAATAGAACACTGTCAGATACAGCTGAGTCTGAACTTCAACAAGGTCAAGAAATAGACTGGTTTAACCTCCTACCTGTGTGGTTAGGCTTCTCAAAGGCACTGTGAATTTGCAGAGATGCAGTACTGTTAGGCTCAGTACTCAGCTCTGCCAGCAGTACGCAGCTCTGCCAGCTTCCTTTTCACCCTGGAAGCCATGGATATTTTTTCTGAGCACAAAAAGAGGTGGATTTACAGCTCATGGTCATGGATTTTCCTGAGCCACTGGATGCTTTCTCTGAGCAGGCAGTGAAGCGGATTGAGGCCTGGCTGGATGGCAGAGCCTAGAGGGTGGTGATAAATGGGGCCGGAGTCTAGTTGGAGGCCTGTGGCCAGTAGTGTCCCGCAGGGGTCAGTACTGGGTCCAGTGCTCTTCAACTTGTTCATCAATAACTTGGACGAGAGCACAGAGTAACTTGCAAACAAGCAAGTTTGCAGATGATACAAAAGTGGGTGGAGTGGCCGACACTCCCAAGGGCTGTGTTGCCATTCGGAGGGACCGATACAGGTTGGAGAGTAGGGCAGAGAGGAACCTCATGAGGTTCAACAAGGACAAGTGCAGGGTTCTGCACCTGGGGAGGAATAACCCCAGGCACCAGTACGGATTAGAGGTTGACCTGCTGGAAAGCAGCTCTGTGGGGAGAGATTTGGAACTCCTGGTTGACAACAGGTTAACCATGAGGGAGCAATGTGCTCTTGTGGCCAAGAAGGCCAAGGGGATCCTGGCCTGTATCAGGGGGAGCGTTGCCAGCAGGCCGAGGGAGGGGATCCTGCCCCTCTGCTCAGCGCTGGTGAGCGCATGTGGAGTATTGGGTGCAGTTCTGGGCTCCCCAGGACAAGAAGGACATGGAGCTTCTAGACAGGGTCCAGCGCAAAGATGATTAAAGGATTGGAGCATCTATTTTAAGAGGAAAGACTAAGCAAGCTGGGCCTGTTAAGTCTGGAGAAGAGAAGACTGAGAGGAGATTTGATCAGCATATTCAAGTATCTGAAGGGTGAATGTAAAGAAGATGGGGCCAGG